GAGAGGAAAAAGGAAAGAAACGTGCAAAAAGCAGGTGAAACCTCCAGGACTTGACTTTCGCCCCCAACCAGAGGCAAAAGTACTTTACCGCACCGACTGTCAGCACTATTTTATTCCCAGAATTTCACGCTCGGCAGCGTGGAAAAATATAATGAGGAGTAGGAGTCAAGAAACTTGGCCTAAAAACCAAACAAAAAAAGGAGAAAATCAATGTCGTGGTTTTCTCACCATATTTTATCCGTCGGAGGTCGAAACTGCATTTTTGCTCGTATTTTTTTTTTCGTGGATTTGCATGAATGCCAAACCTTGATTTTTTGCATCTTGGGTATGAATTTTATCTGGTTGCGGGTTAAGTTTGATCATGGTCTCAGTAGTGAGATCATTAATCAGTTAGTATGAGATTGATGATGTTTCTTTCAGTTGCAGAGACACTGACATGTTTCTCTCTACTCGGGTTTCACACGCGCAAATTCGCGATGCCACAGGGTGTGCCAAAAAAAGCGTTTACATTTTACGGGCATTGGAACCCTGACTTCCTCGTAACATAATCAATTAAAATGTGAAAAAGTATTATTCAACAATAACGGACATAATACAGTATTACTTCTCTGCCTGTGATTGATCAGCCCAGATAATCACACGCTAACATATGGTTATTCTTATTTTAAAAAGTGTGTTGAATCCATAACAATTTTTGAAGTACAGTATTTCAATAAAGACGAAATTTTTCTTGAGGATGAATTAGAATATTTCGAATTAAAATTGTAATGTACTGCATATAGTCCTACCACGAAATGGGAATTGGGACACTGTACAGGAGTTGAGATTGAAAAATAATTTTTTCCTGCTCTTGATTTTGAAATTGTCAATAACAGCTGTTTTAGCAGGCTTTGTCAAGTCAAGCCCTCTTTAAATAATTTTTGAAAACCTCTCTAATTACATTCAACCCATCAAAGCAGACTTAATTTGTGCAACAGACTACAGTAGTATGTTGTGTGAAAAGTCTGTTAAGCAAATTCAGTTGGGAAGCAAAGGAGGAAGTGGGGACTCATGTCCATTACTGGTGGCATGCATTTCTACAGACTGAAGTCTGTTATGCAGATTTTGTCTTTTATGCAAGAGGAAAAACTGCCTCAAAAGAACAGTCTGTTCTGCAAAAATCTGTTGTGCAGGAGGTTTGTTGTGTGCGGGTTGACTGTATTACTTCCATATAATCTTCAACCATTTCCCTCATGTTTCATGCCTTTTAAGCTTATATAATTAGAAACTTTTCAGTCAAATCTCCCATAGTCAAATTGTAAGGTATTTTTTTCATAAAATAGGGATAAATTTGACGTTACCTGTTCCAGAAACTAAGAAACGGCAAAAAATCATTTTCTCCAAGCTCAGGATTTCCTACAAATTCGTTTTGGAGCGGTTCAACTGCGTATTTGCTGGCAACCCTGATGAGAGAATTAAATTAAGGGAGGAAACCTGAGAAAGTTGAACATCTGTAACTTGATATTTGTGCACAAGGACGAGGGGGAGGTTTGTAAGTGCGTTTCTGTTGGTGTGTGGGGGAGGCAAAATTTTTTTTTTTAAACCTACCCCCTGCAGAGACTTTCTTTGTCCATGAGAACAATCCTGGGGGATTCATGTGTTGAACACTTGTTGTCATTGATTTTTCCAAGACTGTTATTTTTTCACGCACAATACTATATATTTTTTTTCAATTTGACGAAGTGAATCATCGCGAGGTTTCTTGGAATATTTTAGTTGTTAGAATCATGGCCTGTCACGCTTAAGAATCAAAATAACAGGATCCAGAACTTGAAGGTCTTAATTGCACATGGAAAACCAAAAAAAAAATAATAAAGGAAAGTCAAACACAAATATTTTCTCTGTGTATTTCCAAGAAATTTGCACAAGGTCCTTTCAACTCTCTGCGACTTTCTTCGAGGGTTTGAACTGTCAAAAAGGATCCCGACTTTTGTAGACAACATCTCAGCATTTCACCAAGGAAGTCTTGTAACAAATTTTTGAAATTCTGTTAAAAGAAGTTATAAACTATACCTTGAATTCCTGCCAATTTTCGCGGAGCACAAAGGATAACATCTACCCAAGAATCTAAAATGGCTGAATTTTGCCATTGCATCACAGTAATATCCCAGGAACTGTCAGGGTTGTTTATTTCAGCAATGAGTTCCAACTAGTCATACCATTTACCAACTACATTGCAGAAATTGGGGTAGAGGTACAATAAATAATATACCGGATTCTGACGTACAATAATGTACTTACTCGAACACCGCGCGCATATTTCGCTGTTACTGTTTCGTATTTTGAAAGTCCCTCATTTTTAACTCAAAACTTGCTAAAGTTCTGGCGTTATGGCCAGAAAAACCTTTCATGAGAAACAATCTTTGTTTTTTTCAGTCACTTTTCCCCTCAACATTTTAAAATGCAAAATTTTCATTTTATAGATCATTTGTTGAGTAGGAAACCAAGGGTACAGTAGTTTAATAAAATATTAGCTGGGGGAAACCCCAAAAATATTTCACCTATGGTCTTTCAACATGTTACTCAATGCTTATTTTGTACAGTATACAAAATATCTGGGCCTGAGATGCTGAGAAGTTCTCTGATTCCCCTTTTTTATACATTATCAGAAAGCTTTCATCAGAATCCTATCAAATACAGGTTGAATCTCCATGCAATGAAATTCAAGGGTCCAGAGAAAAATTATTGTGGAGAAACCCTATAACATGGGGAGAGAACCCAATTTATGTGGCCAAAAAAATTAGTTTTACAAAGAAAATTGTTGTAGGCAAGATAATTATAGAGAAAGTCCACCTTTCTTTACAAATGCGCTTCATTTCCCAACAGATTCTCCAACTTTTGTTTGCTCTAGCTCATGCAGTCATTTCAACTTTGAAATTGATGCAGAAAATTCACATGCTGGGGAAGTACAGTAGGAAGGAATGAACTGCTCCTTCAATCCGCGACAGTGTCGACATCTGTGTGACGATACACGTCCCATGATACAGAAAACTCGGTACTGGCAGGCGTGGCTTCGAGACCGCGAGGCGGGGGCATGGAAAAACCACGCTGCCCATTATCCAATCCTGTTGCCGCAATTACGTCGGGGTGGCCGTTTCTGATGCGTCCGGTACGCTATCGTACTCGCATCGCCTCCAACCCACAGCCGAGGGGAGTGTAAGAAACGGCGGACGCGCTTCACCGTACTTCAGTCGCTCGCTGTTCACTGCCTTTCGTGGACGTATCGAAGTTAAGAAATAAACAGGGCTTGTGTAATCGTGAAAGAAAGGCCTGGTCTGTCGAAAAGAAAAAAGGATGATTATGAAGCAGCAACTGTGAGAAGAGAGCATATGATTAATGCGATTGACATACAGGAGTGATGACGTGATCCTGTACTGCTGCTGTGAGTGATTGGAAAAGGAAAGAAGGTGTGATTTTACCTTTATTCGCAATCGGTTATTTGACCTGGATTCTATTTCGGAATGTGATCACGCGAAATGGAATTTTCCTGATGGGATCGATTTGCTCATGCGAGGCTGAAGTGTCAAAGTGATTATACAGAATTACTCTCAACAGCTGCGATGCAGTGATTTAATTTTTGTCAGGTTCTCTATGATTTCATTCAATAAATGTCATAATTTAATTACCCAGGGTGGCATTCTATGACGTCCAGCTGACTGTTGAAAGCTTTGTTCATAATATTTGAAATTAAAGGAAGGAAACACCGTACTGTGCATAATGTGCAAGATTCACGTTCCAAACACTTGAGAAGTAAAAAATATATATATTAAAACACATTCGTTGGAAGCTACTAAGCTATTTTTTATGTGGTTTTGTGCGTAAGCCAGCTCCAGAAATTTGCAACGTTGCTGTTGTTGCTGAATGTGAAGATTGTTGTGAATTGTCAAATAGCGAAGAAGACTAGTCGAAGTCATGAGGATAAGGTTTTTGGAATAAAAAAAATTCCCAGAGGCTTCCTACAAGTCTCAGGGATTCCATTTGAGCATTCTGTAAAAACTCTACTTCAGGAAGTAAGGTACAGTACCTGAAAAATCCAGTTTTCCTGAACTTCACAGCAGTGTTGTAAAGTAGTGATTGAAGTCGAAGTTAGCTGAAAATGCATGTGAAATATGAGCTTTTTCAAGGCTTTGTCTAATCTGGTGCGATTTTTAAACAATTACTAAACTCCGAATGTATACTTGAGACATATATTGGTCAACAGCCTTGGTTATTATTTCATGTTGATCAAAAGAAAAAGTCAACCTAACCTGAAGTAGCACCAAACCAAATCTCAATGTGATACAAACCAAATTAAACTCAACCATTTGGTGAAGACACCTGATTGATTTCAGACAAAAGCTTGTTGATCTGAAATTGTATAAATTTAATACAATTTTCCCATATACTTTAATGGTGAAGAAATTAGTGTGAAGTACAGTATTTAGTTCCTTTAGAGTTTAGACAGTTGAAATTGTCAAATAACAGATGATGCCTCAAGTGATTGAGCTGATTTTCTTTTGAAAGATTTTTCCAGCAGCTGATGCCTTTCCCATGAATATGTCCAGGAAAATTTCCGAAATGGGGAATTTTTTATACTGTGTATGTCGTGATGCTGGAATATTTGTAAGCTGGGTTGACACAATCAGGGGGTTGGTTATAGGTTAATTTTTCACTTTGGATTGGCCCAATTCTGATCAGCATACGATTACTGTACCGGTACTTTGAAATTTATGCACATTACAGTATTCAACCTTTCAAGAGGCACTCATCAAAGATTTCAAGTAGATGTGTTCTTCATGGTTTAACCCGCCTGAGAAAATGAAATGAAATAATCCAGTTTTCCTTGATACTCTCAACAGGCTGCCATTTCTCTTTAGAAGAAGTTGTTCGCGTGTTTGTTGCCTGATGGCACGGTGAAAACAAAGAAGAAAAAAAATCGGCTCAATTTCCTAGCGACTTGAGAGCATCAGCAGTATAGTGACATGAGTTTGTGGGACGACACCGGGAAGCTTTTGGAGCAAGACTCTCTCGACACCACTGACGAGGAGCTCCGTTTCGCATGGCACGTGCCAGAGCACAAGCTGCACTACGTCATTGTCGACGAGGATGACGACAGCAGAGGAGGTGGTGGCGGCGGCGGCGACTTGAGACGCAAGTCCTACGAGCACCAAACCCGGTTTGCCAGTGATGGTGGATACGACGTGACCAGCAGTGGTGGTGTAGGCACGAAGACGATTGGTGTAATGCTGGACCATGATGAAGAACAGGCGCCACTGTCGTCCCGGCGCCGGAAACGAGCCCATGGCAGAGTGGCGCCGCCTGTGGAAGGTTATGGCGTGAAGCGGTCGTCGTCTGCGGCGTCCAATGGGTGAGTGGAGTTGGTCTTCTTTGAGAGAACAGCGCAAAAAAAGTGGTAAACAGAGAAAATATAATTTTAACAACGAAACTCGCACAAATTCTTATGCCGAACACAGATCCTCAGCCCGAATTCATTAGAACATAAATGGTTCATGTCGCGAAAATCCTGAAGCGTTGGTCGAGAAAATTCGGCCTTCACACTGGGAAGATATGCAATTTCTTTTGGCAGTAAATTAAAATGAACGGAATTTTGCCGCTGAGATTGATGCCTGAGTATGAGAATAATGCTTCGCTTGAAAACCTTTGACGTAAGAAAACAATTCATGCCAATTTTAAAAGCTAGAGTGAACGTTATATCGATCGCCGATTCCGACATGATATATCGAGTATGGGCCACACACAATATTCTGGCTTTTTATTTTTTGAGAAGAGAAAAATGAAATTTGCCACCGAAAAACTACGACAGTATCTTTCTACATTTATCTTGCGTGAACCAGCACCCGTCTTTTTTCTGTCACTTCCCAACTTGATTTGCGTGGTATTGTGTATCTATGGTTGGATGCCATTTCAAGGCATTTAAGGGATCATGAATCGGTAGGAAACAAGAAAAAAAATTTTTTAATTGTCCGGTGATTATATTGCAGAATTTTTAAATGCTTGAGCGTTTCGACCAGGAAAAAACAGATGCCTTAAATCTCTTAATTTTTATGCTGAAGATTTCTCGCCTTACAGAGACATCTGAAGGTTCTGTACTCATAATGTCAAAAAATCATATCCTCGTGAATCCACCTCATCAAAGGGAAGAAACAATGTTGTCATTTCCCCGAGCTTTTCTTCAGTCATCCGCGAAATCTAAGGAAAAAGCTGGACTTTGAATTATGAAGGACATTTGAACTTAAAAGCGAGCTCACACTTTCTTCGAGTGGTGTCTCAACCACAATGATTGAAGAAAATGTGAGCTCCTTTTAAAATCGGCATAAAATCTTTCCAAATTTACCAGTTGGTTTTCTTGCAATTTTGGGTGAACAATATTGTAGCGACGAATTTCCGCCGAGAATGTCTCCGGAGATTCATAGAACACTCAATCCGGGAAACGTTTGAGTACGATTTTTTTAAATTTCGATTCTGGGGAATGATTTTCCTTTTGAGTCTCCCAGACACTCATTAAAAGTCTTCTTCCGATAATAAAAAGCTGGAAACACTTTTCTGGTAGATAAAGGGGAATAATTCGCCATCTGTTTTTCTCGGCGTGGAAAAGCAATATTTGAGGAGGCTTATTTTGGCAAAGGCTTATGAAAAACCTCTCGTGCTGCATCGTTATTTTTCTGCTGTGTCTTTGATCGTAATCACAGCAATTATGTGCATATTATGAGGATTTGTCTTTCGATTATTATTTTATTTCATTTTTTCAAGGAGCCCCGTGGGGGTGGAACATCGTGTCTTGGCCAATGTGCGCGAAAGACAGCGAACCCAGAACCTGAACGACGCCTTCGCCACGTTGCGCAAAATCATCCCGACTCTGCCATCCGACAAGTTGTCCAAGATCCAGACCCTGAAACTGGCGTCCCGCTACATCGACTTCTTGTACCAGCTGCTGGAAAGGCCTGGAACAGAAGCAGAGGAAATGGCCGTCGATTCCAGTGGCACCACCGACTACTGGCTCAACCACGAGAACCTCAGTTACGCCTTTTCAGTCTGGCGCATGGAGGGTGAATGGCAACAGCGCTGAACCTCTTGGGTTTGGCAACCTTGATATTGCACGGTTATATAAGAGTTTTTTTTTTGTTGAGAACATTTGGCTCAAGTGGCATTCCGTTGTGTGCAACAACCCCCCACACCACATGTGTCCTGTTGGTTTTTGGAAACATTTTTTTTGGACAAGTGTTTTTTCTGTCTTTTTTTTTCAGGGAAAAATTTGTGGGTGTTACACTTTCCTGACGCGATTTCTTTTTTTTTTTTAATACAGCAGATGAATTTTTGAGCAATATACTGTGTACTGTTTTTTTTAATAAATTTCAAATTTAGTAGTTTTTTTTTTTTTTTTAAGAAAAAATGTGATCCTTCACAATCAACTCGACTCAAGTGGCATTCCGTCGTGTATTGAAAAATTATGTTTGGGCAATAAATTGATTTACATTAAAAATTCCACCAAACAATTTTTCGTCGAAAAGGTCAAGATTTAGCAAATTTCGGAGGAAAACTTGGGAAAATTTGAAAATTGATGAAATGAGATCAGAAGGATGTAGTTTTACCTCTTCTATTTTAAATTTCATGAATTTCTGAGCTCAAACTGATCAGAATTTTGAGTATTGCATTTTATATTCACAGTTTATGCTGGAAATTTAAAAAAACATGCAGTTTTGAAGTCGTTTTTATGTTCCTTCGTTGAGTTTTTGAATTATTTTACGTAGTATCAATTATAACTCGAAGGAAGACATGTTTCTCATGACGAACATTTTGCATTAAAATCTCATCCAGGAAAAGATGATCTTTTTTATACAAGAACTAACTGTATTTCAAGTACAGTTGTTGAGAAGAAAATGTGACTCTTTCAAAACCCCGATTACATGAGGAATGCTTCATTTCTTACTTGAGCACCGTATTTCAAAGCTGTTTATAATTGAGTCTCCCTATCGAGAAATGAATAATATACAAGAGGGTTTTTAATAAAAAAAAAATCAATGCCACATAAATCGCATGGAAGAATCCGGGGAAACGGAAGTACAGAATAAATTGGCTTATTATGACACGTTGTTATACTGTGTGAGTGGCCCAGGTTTCAGCACCTCTCCTCACCTGGAACCAATAATCACCAGTCGCAAATTTACCCCGCAACCCTCCAGTGTTCGTGTAAGCGGAAGTACTGTACTGTACTATCAAGTTCCTAATTAACGTTGGGTGTTGACAGGGTTCTGGTTCGCATTCTTCGACCCGCGGGGGAAAATCAACTTCGTCCCTAGTTTCCGACTTCTCTCATCTAGTTGAAGACGAAAAAAAAGAAAGTGGGAAGGATTCAGGTCGACTTCCGCAAAAACATCCGAATTCTCTGCTGTCCAAGTTATTTTTGTGAAATATTACAGTTATTTTTGGCGAGTCAAACCGATGGGAATGGTTCAAAACCTGATCTGTTTTTGTCTCTATTCCAGCAAAATGTTGTTCTAATCCGCGGTTTCATCTAATTTCTTTAATGAAAATTGAACTTTGGCGGAGTATAAAAATAATCTTGTGATTATTTATTTGCTTTATAGTCACTCCGACGGTGAAGAGATTCGTGAATTAGAAATTGGTCTTCCTTCATTGAGTGAAATATTTTGAGTTCAACTTTCCTCATCTTGTATCATTTGAAAATACACTCAGGCAATCTGGAATAAGATTTCTGGAGCTGATGCGTGAAATGACTGCTGAAATAATGTACTCTTGAGAGTTGAACCTTTTTTTTTGTTGGAAAGATTGCAGAAACTTCTGAGAAAATCCCGGAATTTTCTTTGTCTCTGTTCCTATTCTCTCAAAAGCTTCTTGTTCTATAGTGTTTCCAATTAGTTCGTAGACGTCTTCGGGATTCGCTATTTTATTTTCCTTCACTATAGTCAGTGAAGATGTTTTGCTGAAGGAAGGAAGTGCCAATCTGTGCTAAGAGTAATATTTTTCCCGTTTTTTTTTTTTTTGTTGAACGAGGTGCCTTTGTATTGTTTGTAATGAAAAGAAACGTCTGCTGTCCTTCGCTCGGTTGAAGAAAGGAAAGTGCATTAATGTTGCTAAATTTGTGACGAACTGAAAATGATCGAGGGAAATGCAACGTTTTTTTCTCATATTCCAAGTTACAGAGAAACGTTATTTTTTGAGGCAGACGCTTGTGAAGCTGATTTTTCGAAAAAGAAGGTTCTTCGTGACGAACGGCGTTCGAAAATTAGGCGTTTCAGGGTCATGGCAAATTACGTCCGGTTCGCCGTTTTTCTTTCGCCGCCGAAACAGGGATTTTGCGGAAAATATTTCGTCCCCTTCGCGAAAGTTTCGGATTGCAGGTGGAAGCGTGGAGCCGCCAATTTAACGTGTGTCGCTGAAATAAACAAAAAGGAGCGGTGAAATTTGGTCATAGATACGATTCTGTGTAGAAAACAAAATTTTTAAGTAAAATTAGCCACGAAATATATTTGGATTGAACAAAACTTTACATTTTTAATATATGCTCCATATTTTTAAAATATGCTTCATATTTTTAAAATATGCTTCATATTTTTAAAATATGCTTCATATTTTTAAAATATATGCTTTTAAAAGACGACAATTTCGAGATGAAAAATATTTTAAAAATATGCTGAGCTGATTCCAATTTTTCAAGCCCAACACTGTATACAGGTTGGCATGAAATAGGACACCTTCCATGAAACAGGGTGGGGTGTGTGTATATATACTGAACTGTAGTCTAGTGGTCTCGAGGAAGACGGGAAACTGGAGCAAAAATGGGCAGAGGGGGGAAACGGAGGTTTTAATGAGAGGTTCTCGGAGCCCCCGGCTTTTGTTTTTGCGCTTGTCGACGTCGCGGTTCTTGCCACAAGAATCGCAGTGTCGAAAACAAGGGCCAAAAAAAAAAAGGAGGCAACTCGACAGCTTTCATTGATGCTGGCACCGAGTGGAGTGGAGGGGAGATGAGAGAAAGAAATGAAATCCCCGCCGACAATAAATTTCTCTGTTCTCAACTTCTTTGTTCCTCGCTCAAACGAATTTCAGTGCACCGCTTTTTTTTGGTGCGGGTCCGTTGCTAAGGTTGAAGAAACTGCAGGAAATCACTTATATTTTTTCCCCCATGTTCTGCACCCCTCCGATTTTTTTAGGGTGTGCCTTTTTTGGGTGGAAATCAGAGGAGTTAGGGGAAGTCTCCTGATAAATAACCTCCCTATTTTTTGTTTTAGCCATTTTTATTTCTGTTTTTTGTTTGTCCCTGGAGAAGCGAAAAACTGGGAATCGGCACGAAGTCGGACGATAAATTTCCTGCTTCGGGTCTTGCTTTTACTGAAGTATTCTCAAAACCAGTTGCTTTCGCCTTTTTCACAGCTTCCGAGAAGAAAAAAGATGAGGGATTATTTTTGAGCAAGGACTGGATGGATTTGTTGTCTAACCCGTGTGTGGGATCGCATTCGGTGGGTTCGGTACCCTTCAGTGGAATAAGAAGACGGAAAAATTAAGCCCTTCAAGATTTTAAATACTCTAATCTCGAAAGAAAACTGAAAAAAATACCCGGGAAACACAATTTTCCATGTGAATGTGAGACTTCATTACAGGGATACAAAAATCATGAAATTAGCGATCAAACATGACATTTTTTTTAGCAGTTACCATTAATTTCCCTCTGTGCCAAAAATTCTAAAGAAATCCATAATTTTATTGAAGCGCCTCCTCTTGAAAATATAAATTCCTTTGTGTGCAGATGCTCTCGGAAAATCATGAATAATTTATTCTACAAGTATTTTCAATTTTTGTTCGTTCGGCACATGGTCCATATAATTCATGGGCAATTTAATTCAGGGTTAATTCAGTTCATACGCCGAAATTTTTCATTTCAGTGTCCTGTAGTGTACAATATTTAAAGATATGGCTGAAAGATAACGAAAACTTGACATTCTCCACATTTTGAGCTCGATTTCGGGAATCGAACTGTCGGTGGAACGAATTGGATTTGGAGGCTATTTCGAGAGATCAAAATGTTAGACTCAAAAAAAAATATATCTACTGCATTCCATGTGAATGTTTCTCTGAACTATGCAAAAAAGTGCAGTACCCATCAATAATATTGAAACTGAGGCCCGCAGATGCAACAAAAAAAATGACGGGCCTTTTCGGTTCCGCGCCAATAAATCCCATTTCTCGAGACGCGCTTCCAATGAATGAAGCTTCGAAACGCTTCACAGAATCCCAAAAAAAGAGAAGAAAACGAGCATAAAAAGATTTTCAAAAAAAGTGGGTATATGTGCATGCATAAATGAAGATGATGCAGCAGCAAAACGTGGTATGTCAGACTTGCAAACCTCTGTCTCCCTTTCCTGCGAATCTTCTTCTCTCCTGCTCATCACTTGTTGCACACAACACACAGAGACTTCCGTTCATGCATGAAGACCCTCCCAAAGAATCCCCGCAAAAACGTCAGCGAAGATAAGAAATAAAAAAAAACAGCATGGATATGGAAAATAAGAGAAAAACGTCTGAAATGGAGACTTGAAGAACGCGGCTCGTCACTCAAAAATTATCACTGGTATGCGATCCTCCCACAAACCGTTGCAAATATCTCTTCAATCGCTGCTTGTTCAATTTCTGATCTTTTTTTGTTTTGAAAACTCTCTTAAAGGCCTGCATGCGTGACATGCATCCGTTAAACCGTGAAAATCAGCTACACAGAAAAAAAAAAGATCAACAGGAACCCCGGGAATGTGTCGCCCAAAAAGAGAGGCTGAAAACAGGAACAACCCGCAGTAAAAAACATTCAGAAAATACACATAAAACGAATTGCTAGTGTGTCATAAAGTCTTTTATGAATAGGTTGCCAACCGACAGCTGGTCGATCTGGATGTTGTTACATTTTGTAAGACGCTTCATTTAGTTTCTGTCGATCAAAAATGATCCCAAAGTAAAAAAAAAAGTTCATGAGAAACCATAAGTTAAATTTGTGGAAGATTTGCCAGAACACTCAAAAGCCCACAAAGAATCACAATAGACCTTCTCATTTTATTAAATACACAGATCTGGAAGTGAAAACAATGAGAATGAGTGGTCTGAAAATTGATGCATTACTTTTAAATTTTGACATCATTGAAATACTGTATTTTCAAACAGCAAGAGTTGACATGAACTCTGAATCATCGGGGAACACCAGATTTCTGAGTACAAGTGGTACCTTGCAATTTAACCCAAATCTGTTCCTGGACTAAAGTCCAATTGCAAAGCAGTCAAATTGCAAGACAGCATCAAATTGCATGTTTTCTACATGGCATTTGAAATTGTGTGTCTCTCCACAAGTCAAATTGTGCGGCAGAGGTCAAAATGAGAGTCAACCTCCCAGCAAATTATACCTTCAAATTGCGTGATGGTCAAATTGCAAGGTACCACCGGTACTGTATTCATTTTGTGATGGTACATCATGTATGTAATCTGGTCTCAAAAAATGCTTGCTTATTATTCCTCCAATAAATTTCTGGCATTCATTTTTTTCTGGAATTTTTTATGGGCATGGTTCAAGAATTAATTTTAATTTTTGGATACTCAAAACTTGCAGGAAATCGGATATAATCAACATTCTTGACTTGCAATAAATAATGCATGAACAAATCCGGTAGATGAGAAAATTTCAAACTTTCATTTCATCACGGAGTTTGCAAAATATAGTTGAACTTTTTAATATGAAAAGTGAAACTCATCATTTATTATCTCTATTTATTAAATCAAAGCACTTCAGATATACATTATTAAATATCTTATTTTACATTTAAAGAATCTACTCAAATTAAAATGTATCATCACAACAGCACTTCACAATGAATCACGATTCCCTTCACAAGACAACATTGACAGACGATGATTATATGAGATTTGCGAAGGTTGTTTTCCTTTTCACCATCCCGACAAGATAGTAACTTTTATTCCAGGTTATCTCAGGTAGGAAGAAAAAAATCATTCAAGTCAGCATGGAAACTGATCAACCAGGAAAAACTTCACCATTGGCACAATACCTCCGCCTGCTGAATTCTATCCATGATGTCAATAAATTGTCCTTCTCCAAACGGCCTTTGGAAGACCAGTTGGATTTTCTTTTCCACTCTGAAAAGGTCAGAGACTACCGACCCAAGATGTATTCTGAAACCAAGAACGTGTTCAGGGCCTATGAGTGCAGTAGCAAGGCCAAGAATTGCCATAAAATATCAACCAAATTTGCACGTCTCAAGGACGCCCTGAGATTCGCTCCTCGCTTCGGGGACATGTTTGCCGATATCGTCATGTTTCGGTGAATCCATGAGTAAATGACTGATTCATTAATGAGTCAATTGTTGTTTTTTTTTTTTTAAATGCCCTACGGCTGGGACAGAAATAATCAACTCTTTATTTCTAACAGGAGGTTCAAATTTGAATCTCAGCAGAATTGAATATTGTTGACTTTCTCAGCAACATTTCTTGATGATGCTGAGGGTACAAAAACTCCTCGTGCAAAAAATAATTTCCAGAGACTGTTTGTTATAAACTTACAAAAAGAGGATTCTTCTCTTATCTGCTTCAAAAATTATTTATTATTAAATCATTTGAATTGAGAGGGTAAATGATTATCTCAGTTAAAGTTCGGTAAAAGAAGCCACGACTTGGATTTGAGTGCCTCATTTTATTTATTAACAATCATTTTCTAACTTTTTTCGTTATATAATTGGACTGTTTCTTTTTGAAGCTTTCTGAGCAACTGCAGTAGAATTATTTACAATTTTTCAAAAATTCTTTCAGAGCATCTTTAACATCAAAAATGTTGCACAGACCGGATGAAGCTTTGCGGCAAATCGCAGAACTCGGGTCCGGATTCGGGAAGCAGAAATCAGCAGAAATCCGCAAACTTGAGCAAGATTTGCGGGAAACCTTGAAACAGGGTTCTTTTAAGACAACAGACCACAATTCGAAACAGCACCATTGGTTGGACTTGACGAAAGAGGAAAGAATTTCCCCATTCTGCAGCGTTTCCGACAAGATAAAGCTCGGGAAAACGGGAAAAAAGGGGTTCGGATATTTTGCGGAAGTCGACTTGAAACCCGGTAATCGTTTTTTTTCTGTTGTTGACACGAGCAAGAAATAAGTTGTGAACTATACAGGGAACGAAGTTATATCTCCCCCCAAAGGGTTGGAGATAATGTGAACCAGAACCTTGTTAGTCCTCCACGTTAATTAGGAACTTGAGGAAGTACTTTTGCAAAAAGGGACATGAGGAAGTCGGAAGGATAATTTGCGACTGGGTGATTATTGGTTCCAGGTGAAGTGCTGATTTCTGAGACTGCCTTGAGTTCTGTGCTGATGCCTGATACATGGGCAACTCACTGCAACATGTGTCATAATCAGGTTTATGTGGGCTTCCCTTGTCCAAAATGCCCTCATGTGAGTTATGATGACGCATTGATAAATTATATTAAATTTTCAATCAATTTTAAAAAGGCCTGTTTTATATCAAGGAAATGAAATTTTTTACGTATTCAGTCAACATCAGATATGATTCGAAGGTTTTTTCTTTGACTTGTAAAGAAGTTGATTTAATTATGCAAATTTCTGAATTGTACAAAACCCCCGTACGTAGAATTACAATAATTTAAAAAGAGCCATTTTTGAAAATTGATTCACTATCTCAACTTTCAATTCTAACATGAGCAATCTGTTACTCAAAAAAAGACTTTTTTACAGAAATTTCCTCAATCAATATCACTGACAATAAAGGATGTCTAAATCAGAAAATTTGTCATTTGAAAATATTTTAGTTGGTCAGATCCGAGACATTTTTGCTTAAAAACATGTGATATTATTTGAAATAATTCACAGTATTTGTTATCTTGTCAGGATCAACTGCAAATGCATAAGATATACAAAATATGGGTGGCATTCATTTTCATTTTCTCTGGGTGGTGGAGGAGTAAGTCATTTCTATGTTTTACTGCAGCCTTGTTCATCAAATTTTAAATATAACCAGGAAAGGTTACATTTTTTTGTGTAAAAGTATTGTATGAGTGTATGTCTCTGAATAAAACCACAAGGATTTTAAAAGAAATTGCAGAGCTGAAAAACACATCAATGACCTATTCCCTATTCTTGTACCTTCAGCAATAGTGAAACATTAGTTTTGCACTTGCAATAATTTCTTTCATCCAACAAACATTTGGTACTTTCCTGTTATCTCAGTACCTCCCAAAATCAGTTTCTGCTTTCTTTGGGTTTCTGCTGAAACTGATTTTGGGAGGCAGTTAGGTAAAGTTACGTCAGGTCATGTTATGTTAATTGAAAGATATTTGTAACTAACATAACCTGACCTAACCTAACTTTACCTAACCGCCTCCCAAAATCAGTTTCAGCAGAATGCAGAAAAAGGAAATTCACAGTTTCTGGTAGGTTGCTTTGAAAGTAGGTACTGAGATAACGCAAAAGTACCCATTCTTTCTACTGTTAAATTGTGACTGGGGCAATATATTTACAGGTGATTTACTGTGACAAGGAATGCTATCAAAGAAGTCAGACATTCCACAAATTTGAGTGCAAAGCTATGGTGAACTTGAGGGAATTGTGTTTGCTTCATCCAACAGCTTTAGTTGCTTTAAAAATGGTGCTGAGCACCAACTTGAGAGACTTGGTGGGTACCAAGGGCCGGAGACTGAGCAGAAAACCCCAGGATCAGGATTATCTTCAGGTGATGAACATCTTGTACTTGTTTTTTTTTATTTACAGGCAGACTGAAAAACATTTTCTGAAGGCTTTATGAATTTCAGTGGTGACTTCTGATTACAGAAATACCATCCTGGTGATTGGAGATCAACCTTCAACTTACAGCAAAGTCAGGCAAATGAAGATTCAGAATTGGTGCTGAGTAATGCAAAGTTGGCAGTTTACCTGGTGAAGCTGCTGGAGGAAATGGGATACTTTGCAGCTCAGGATTATCCTGCTTCTACTGAAGAAAAAATATGTTTGAGCGAATTGCTGTCCCACTGGCTCAGCACATTTGCTTCCAACTGCTTCCCCATTAGTACTCCACAGGTTTCTATAGATTTTATCTGATCCTATTTTTTCCTTTGCCTAGAAATTAATCCATTTCTGTGTTCTTGGTCACTTAATTTTGTAAATAATTATTTTTGTATGGAAAACTGGGATGAAAGGTTTGAAGGAAACTTTACAGCCATTATCTGATGCTGTAAAATGATTTTTTTTAAATTTAAATTTAAATGAAAAGGTATTCAATTTAATAAAAATTAATTTTGGAAAAAAAAATTAACAATATAGACTTATTTCTTCTATTAACTTCCGTTACAGAAGAATTAGGAAACAGAGGTATTTTCCCACTCCTTTTATCCTTTCCAACGTAAGCTCAGGTCATCTTTTCTTCAGTTCAGTTTTTTAAAATAAAGGTGAGAACATTGAATTGTTTTGATAATATTTGCAATGCAGGTGAAAAAGGCTGAAGACGAGGTAAAAGTTTGGTTGTCTCCAACTGGAACTGGGATTTTTCCTTCTTCAGCAATGTTCAACCATGCCTGCTATCCAAATGCAACAGCGTATTTCCTGAACAACAAATTGGTGATCAGAACTCACCGCTCAATCAAACAGGGTATAAAATATGTTTTTCAACTTTGTTCAAATGATATTAAATCGCGTCAAGTTTTCAGAATTTTGTAGATAATATGAAGCTAAAGTTGTCTTTTTTATTTTTTTATTAAATCATTTGAATTGAGAGGGTAAATGATTATCTCAGTTAAAGTTCGGTAAAAGAAGCCACGACTTGGATTTGAGTGCCTCATTTTATTTATTAACAATCATTTTCTAACTTTTTTCGTTATAATTGGACTGTTTCTTTTTGAAGCTTTCTGAGCAACTGCAGTAGAATTATTTACAATTTTTCAAAAATTCTTTCAGAGCATCTTTAACATCAAAAATGCTGCACAGACCGGATGAAGCTTTGCGGCAAATCGCAGAACTCGGGTCCGGATTCGGGAAGCAGAAATCAGCAGAAGTCCGCAAACTTGAGCAAGATTTGCGGGAAACCTTGAAACAGGGTTCTTTTAAGACAACAGACCACAATTCGAACCAGTACCATTGGTTGGACTTGACGAAAGAGGAAAGAATTTCACCATTCTGCAGCGTTTCCGACAAGATAAAGCTCGGGAAAACAGGAAAAAAGGGGTTCGGATATTTTGCGGAAGTCGACTTGAAACCCGGTAATCTTTTTTTTCTTCTGTTGTTGACATGAGCAAGAAATAAGTTGTGAACTATATAGGGACGAAGTTATATCTCCCCCCAAAGGGTTGGAGATAATGTGAACCAGAACCTTGTTAGTCCTCCACGTTAATTAGGAACTTGAGGAAGTACTTTTGCAAAAAGGGACATGAGGAAGTCGGAAGGATAATTTGCGACTGGGTGATTATTGGTTCCAGGTGAAGTGCTGATTTCTGAGACTGCCTTGAGTTCTGTGCTGATGCCTGATACATGGGCAACTCACTGCAACATGTGTCATAATCAGGTTTATGTGGGCTTCCCTTGTCCAAAATGCCCTCATGTGAGTTATGATGACGCATTGATAAATTATATTAAATTTTCAATCAATTTTAAAAAGGCCTGTTTTATATCAAGGAAATGAAATTTTTTACGTATTCAGTCAACATCAGATATGATTCGAAGGTTTTTTCTTTGACTTGTAAAGAAGTTGATTTAATTATGCAAATTTCTGAATTGTACAAAACCCCCGTACGTAGAATTACAATAATTTAAAAAGAGCCATTTTTGAAAATTGATTCACTATCTCAACTTTCAATTCTAACATGAGCAATCTGTTACTCAAAAAAAGACTTTTTTACAGAAATTTCCTCAATCAATATCACTGACAATAAAGGATGTCTAAATCAGAAAATTTGTCATTTGAAAATATTTTAGTTGGTCAGATCCGAGACATTTTTGCTTAAAAACATGTGATATTATTTGAAATAATTCACAGTATTTGTTATCTTGTCAGGATCAACTGCAAATGCATAAGATATACAAAATATGGGTGGCATTCATTTTCATTTTCTCTGGGTGGTGGAGGAGTAAGTCATTTCTATGTTTTACTGCAGCCTTGTTCATCAAATTTTAAATATAACCAGGAAAGGTTACATTTTTTTGTGTAAAAGTATTGTATGAGTGTATGTCTCTGAATAAAACCACAAGGATTTTAAAAGAAATTGCAGAGCTGAAAAACACATCAATGACCTATTCCCTATTCTTGTACCTTCAGCAATAGTGAAACATTAGTTTTGCACTTGCAATAATTTCTTTCATCCAACAAACATTTGGTACTTTCCTGTTATCTCAGTACCTCCCAAAATCAGTTTCTGCTTTCTTTGGGTTTCTGCTGAAACTGATTTTGGGAGGCAGTTAGGTAAAGTTACGTCAGGTCATGTTATGTTAATTGAAAGATATTTGTAACTAACATAACCTGACCTAACCTAACTTTACCTAACCGCCTCCCAAAATCAGTTTCAGCAGAATGCAGAAAAAGGAAATTCACAGTTTCTGGTAGGTTGCTTTGAAAGTAGGTACTGAGATAACGCAAAAGTACCCATTCTTTCTACTGTTAAATTGTGACTGGGGCAATATATTTACAGGTGATTTACTGTGACAAGGAATGCTATCAAAGAAGTCAGACATTCCACAAATTTGAGTGCAAAGCTATGGTGAACTTGAGGGAATTGTGTTTGCTTCATCCAACAGCTTTAGTTGCTTTAAAAATGGTGCTGAGCACCAACTTGAGAGACTTGGTGGGTACCAAGGGCCGGAGACTGAGCAGAAAACCCCAGGATCAGGATTATCTTCAGGTGATGAACATCTTGTACTTGTTTTTTTTTATTTACAGGCAGACTGAAAAACATTTTCTGAAGGCTTTATGAATTTCAGTGGTGACTTCTGATTACAGAAATACCATCCTGGTGATTGGAGATCAACCTTCAACTTACAGCAAAGTCAGGCAAATGAAGATTCAGAATTGGTGCTGAGTAATGCAAAGTTGGCAGTTTACCTGGTGAAGCTGCTGGAGGAAATGGGATACTTTGCAGCTCAGGATTATCCTGCTTCTACTGAAGAAAAAATATGTTTGAGCGAATTGCTGTCCCACTGGCTCAGCACATTTGCTTCCAACTGCTTCCCCATTAGTACTCCACAGGTTTCTATAGATTTTATCTGATCCTATTTTTTCCTTTGCCTAGAAATTAATCCATTTCTGTGTTCTTGGTCACTTAATTTTGTAAATAATTATTTTTGTATGGAAAACTGGGATGAAAGGTTTGAAGGAAACTTTACAGCCATTATCTGATGCTGTAAAATGATTTTTTTATTTAAAATTTAAATGAAAAGGTATTCAATTTAATAAAAATTAATTTTGGAAAAAACAAATTAACAATATAGACTTATTTCTTCTATTAACTTCCGTTACAGAAGAGTTAGGAAACAGAGGTATTTTCCCACTCCTTTTATCCTTTCCAACGTAAGCTCACGTCATCTTTTCTTCAATTCAGTTTTTTAAATAAAGGTGAAAACATTGAATTGTTTTGATAATATTTGCAATGCAGGTGAAAAAGGCTGAAGACGAGGTAAAAGTTTGGTTGTCTGCAACTGGAACTGGGATTTTTCCTTCTTCAGCAATGTTCAACCATGCCTGCTATCCAAATGCAACAGCGTATTTCCTGAACAACAAATTGGTGATATCTTGAGTGGCGAGTTAGTTTGTCCCATATTTTATACAAAAAGTTGAAACAAGTTTACTATAATTTAGCGCAGTTCAAAAGTCTTAAAACATCTATTATACTTCGATTTCAACAGAAAAAATAAAAAAGGTGAAGAGGTGACCATTTCATATGGTGTTTTTGCATATTGTGACTCTGAGGATGAGAGGCAAATGTTTCTCTTGGACAAGTATAACTTTGCATGTTCTTGTGAGGCCTGTTCTAAACATTGGGCTCAAGTTGGCTGTGATTCTGAAATCTTGATGCTCAGGCCAGAGTCACATTTTGTTCATCAGTCTTTGAAGAAGAGGAAGAGTTTGATGTCTGTGTGTGAGCAATGTGGTCCATATCAGGCACATTCAGACAGGATTCTGCAACTTGCTGATGTTGATCAAATGTTCAAGAATGCAACAGCCTGGGTGCTGGATACAGAACAAACAGTGACCAACTACAAGTCACCTAAATGTGAGTACAGTACCATATTTACTCAAGTACCAAATGCCCTTGGGTAAGGAATGCACCTGGTTTTATGACCCTGAAACTTGGACTAAATGGTATACCCAAGTAATACGTGCATCCCACTTTTATTCTCAGAGAATAATACAGTTTTACCTGGCTAAGTCAAACCTCCGTAAGTCAAATACCTCCTTGAGTCAATTTTATAAAGTGCCTATCTGAATTCCCTTAGAAACAATGCATTAAAAACCTCCTAAACGCAAAGGCTTTTCCTCTAAAACCTCCATACATCTTTTTTGAAGCCATTAGGCTACTCTTTTATTGAATCAGGAAGGAAAGAACAAAATGGAATTTGATGTGCTTTGAAAGGATTTGACAGAATAAATTGGACAAATGAACCCCTGTCTCCAAGTACAGTGCCTTGTCAACTCATTTTAGGAGCATTTTAGGACCATTTTGATGTACAGTATTTTCTGGGCAAACAAACACACCCTCTCATATATTTTTAGATCAGAGATTCACTTCACTAGGAGTCTTGATTAGCAAATAATTTTGTCAACAAACATTTTAACCAATGAACTTAATTTTTTCACTGTTCCTGTATTCAAACACTGATCCTTTGGCAAAAATTTCTTGGGGACAAAAACTTTAATTTTGCTACAGGGATTGGAAATTTTGTGATTGCGCTTTCAAACCATATAACTTGCAAACATTACAAAGAGGTGATGTTGGTTTTTTTAGTCAAGTTTCTTTTCCATTTCATTGGAATAGAATTTTGATTTATGCAATGATTCTTACAAATGTAAAATTTTTCAGGTGTAAAACCGCATCAGTGTGCATTTCGGGCCCAGAACCTGCTCATCAAATGCTTCTTGGTTGATGCAGTTTTGGCAAAACCAGTGCTGATAGCTTCTCGCCATGAAATCCCAGACATTGACCAGAATCATCAAGTTTTGCCTCAACAAGTCAAAAGCAGGACTCAGCCAAAATTTTTGAGGATTGTGGATTCTTTGGGGACATCGTGATGCTTTCTTGTCACTTTAATCAACACCGTCGGGCATGACTATATATTTTATTTCTTCGGGAATTTAAAATCGGAAATTAAATGCGAAATAAAAAAGCATGGAATGAATTCACTTCTAAGCCTTGAAATATATTTTTGCTTCGATTTCAGCGATGACATCCCAGCAATTCTCACTAAACCACGAAATTACCGAATTTTATTTCACTAAGACAATCTTTACGAGTCCAGCGAAACTTGTGGTTGTGGTTTCCATTATTTTCCACCGCCTACGACGACAGTTTTCTGGCACTTTGGGACAGCACCTGTCCAGACACCACCTGCATTGCAAACCAACGGCACAGTACTGTTTAGTTTGAAAGTCGGATCACAGGCAAAATTGGCCTTAGATCCAACGGCTGTGCCATTGAAAACAGCGTATCCATTGACGGGTTTCGGAGGTGCGTTGCATCGCTCAACTTTCCTCTGCATTTCTCCATCACTCACTTGCATCACGTATTCAATCAGCATCGCTTCCTCAGCAAGGTTAATTTCTCCGGACATGTAAAGGTCAAAGAGACACGTCACGTTGTTTCCGCACAATTCAGATTCCATTTGTGATGGCACTAGTGCTGGTTCCAGGGGCGGGATGTAAGCTAGGTCGTGGTGGGCAGCTCTCGTGTCATCATCTCCGAGGTACACGAAAATGGTTTCTTCGGGTTTCACACGCCATGATTCGCCGAATGCCCAATGGATGCCTGAGAGGGAAGCATTGGAGGGCAAGGGCGTATCTGCGTTTCTCGGTGACAGGTCATTGGTTGGATCGCCGTCCAGGTTTCCCGCCAGTCCGTTTGTGTTCCCCGCGTAGGTGCTTGTAACGAAAGCTTGCACTAACATCGCCTATGTTCAACAAAATTCAATGCACAGGTTTTGATGCAGTGATGATTGACTGCATGGTGAAACAAAGTTTTACAGGTTTCTGAAAAACTTTACAAAGCGCCATCATGCAGGTCAGTTTCATTCATCAATATCCAATTTTGGGGAGAGAATGCACAGGGAAGAAACGCTGGTGAAAGTTTTCCCTCCTTGCCAAATTCGAGTGTGAATTAAAAATTAGGGCTTGGATTTTTATAGTAATTGCTTATATATGTTCTTGGAGAATTGTGACCTTCCTTGTGATGCAATAAATTGTTCTGAGAAAACTAGGTACTTCCAGTGAGACCCCAAAATGCAGACAACCTGATTTATGGATGATTCAACCTAGCAACATAGAAGTGAAAAATATTTCCCCCCAACATCCAGACACTGACTCAAGATACAGACACGTTTCCAAGATTTCTGGAAGAATTTAATGATTTAATTTTTCTATTTTTTATTTCTTAAATAACTATTGAGATATTACAATTTAAAAATGCTAGAAATAAATTTAATTACTGCATAAAGATACCCTGATTGATAATCAAAAGAAAGGCTACTTTTTGTGTTCTTTCCAGTTTTTTTTTATCAGGTCAGCAGGTGTGCTCAGTATAGTATTTGTTCTTGTTTTTTGCTTCTTGAACTCCCATTGATGTGAAAAGATCAGATTCTGTGTGATTTTCTTCAGTACATTTATTTTCTGTAACTTGAAGTTGAGTAGAATTATTTTATTTTATTTTTAAAGGTGTTTTTTAACTTAAGTATACGTCTTATTGGTAAGTTTTAATAGAGTGACTTCAGTTACCCTTTTAAGTAGAAAGTAATCTAATACAATTACAGGTTGTGGGTGAATAAAATGTACATAAATACGGAAATTTTCTATTACTAATTCCATCCAATTTTGAGCATTTCTTTTTTGCACTATATTAGAAGTATTTTCTGTGGGGAAGTGGGCAAACTGTCATCTTTCCTTGATTTATGGGTAGGTCTTTTAGCAGGTTGAAGTTGAAACACTCAAAAACAAGGCTCTAAACCACTTTTACAATGCTCCTTAACAATTATTCTACAGGATTATGCATGCTTCCCGTAAACATTGCAAAAATTTTACCTGCATCACAGATAGAAATATGTTAACCATGGATTCAATTGTTCAAGAACACAGAGGAAATCTTTTAGGAAATTGCGAAGTGTTGAAAATTATGAATGATTAGAAGGATCCTATCGAAAGAAATAAGCTTGAAAATTTTTGCTTGAGTACCCTATACACTCAAGAGTAGTCCATTTCTGATGGTTTCAATGGGACATAAGGAGAAATTCCTCTAATCATATCTGATTGTATCTTTTCTTCATATTGAAAAGATGGGATGAATTGCTTTACAAAATTGACCAGCATGTCCCACTAGCCAAAATAATGATGGTTCACTTTCAGATCTTATGAGAAACTTTGTACACATACCTTGAGCCCCCCATAGGAAACAACTACTCTCAGGTTCTTGGTAGAGATTATGAAATCACCAAAGCTGTTGACTATGGACATTTCTGGACCAATTCTTGTTGGAAAATCATTTTCCACAATCCGCATGTAAAATTTATTAGATGTGTAGATCATCATCTGGTCAAATGAACTGGCTTGAATCTGTAAATGATTTCCTGCTCCGCATTTCACAGCCACTGCTTGGATGGATGTGCCATTTCCTGCTCCTTGTTTTGGCCTTAGACGCACCTGGAAAATGTATTTCAAGCATTACAGAGTTCAACCTTGTTAGCCCTTGGATGGCAGCAAGTGGATTTCCATCCAATGGTGCAGTACCTGGATATTTTTGCATGCAAGCAAATTTTGCTTTGACCAAGATCACCAAAAGTAGCCAAAATCCATGAAAATTCCAGAGAGCAAAAGCCATTGTTTTTAAATATCTCAATACAGTACTATTTCTCATCAAAGATTCTCTCTAAATTGTTCATTGAACTAAAACTCATACAGAAACAGGCTGAAGACCTTGTGCTTTAAATAAACTTTTACTGCTGTTTCTCTTTTGTTTTTGTCATTGGTTTATGCTTTGTTTCATGCTTTGAAGTGATTGAATGTATTTTGGGGGAGTTGGGTTGGGTGGGGAGGGGGTTTGGATGCAGGAGTTTTGGTTGCACCTTGTGAACGCTGAAAAGTGGCAAATAAAGTTTGTTCATTCATTCATTCAGTACTACTCCCTTGGCAAGAATGCAGAAAAAATTTCCCCAGCAGCAAATAATAATTATTTTTTCTGCACAATTATAACAATTTGAGATTTTTCTGCATTTTGGCTCTGCAGATAAAACTAGTTTTTTTGTGTGTGTGCTTCGTGCGGATAAAAATTCTGAAAATATATCACAGCTCCACAACAGAGGGACTAAGTGAAACCTGAATAATAATAAAATCTCCCAACTTTCAATGCTTGTCTGAAAAGTCTTCACCTATTTTCTCAAATGCATTTTAAACCTCCATAACTTGAAACATTTTGATCCAACCTCCCATATTCAAATTTCTAACGCCTTTGTGTTATTACCCAGGGGCCGGATTCTATAGAAAGCTTGATCTAGAAAAAATTGAAAATGTTTCCTCAATGCTTTTCCACAAGGAATAAGACAACTTCCTACAAGATTCCAATGTATATTGAACACTTCTCACAATTAGGCAAGAAAATAAATTTCATTGATTAACCAATGCTTATCAGGCCAAATGTCTCATTGTGAGTTAAAATTGAAGGGACCTTAAAATTTGACGGAGAGCGGTTCAACTGCAGTTATACACTCAACATTTTTTTTAGAAAAATGGGTTTTTTTTAATTCCAAGTGGGGGAAAATATTTACCTGGACATTGCAATCTGGACTCCTGATGAAATGGTATTCTCCAAAGCCGTTGAATGCATAATGTGTTCTATCAAATGTGGTGAAAATGGGGTCACCATGAGCATAAGCGTTTGCTCTAACTTCATCTGTGCTATATTTGGTTCCACAATCAGATCCTAGTTTCTCATAGTACATTCTGCAAGTCTGTTGTTTGAGTACACTGCGAGCCTCACTTCTGCAGCATGATTGGAAAGGCGTCATTTCTCCATCCATGTATTTGAAAACGTTTTGACTGGGGTCATTTGTTTTGGGAATTCCTCCCATCAGGGGAGCACAAACTAAAGAGTCAGTAAGCTGGTAACAGCATTCTTGTATTTGATCGCCATCCTTGATTGGAATTGATCTGTAGAGACATTATTTAAAATGCAACAAGTATGAAATGAAAGGGTATGCTTGCACTATATATACAGTGAGACCCCCACATGCAGACGCCTCAACATGGGGATGATTTGACATGGGCACACCTATTTTTAACAAAAAATCATTAAAAATACCTGACATGAGGACACTGACTCAACCTGGGGACATTGCAGGATAAAATTCCAAAATAAATTTTAGGAAAATTGATTTTTATAAGGCTTAATTGCAAGAAACAGATGTTTCCAACCTTTTTCTTCCATAAAACACCAATTAAAAATTATACTATGTAAGTCTATGGGAAGACAAGATTCGACTTGGGGACAATCCAACATAGGGACACTCTTGAAGTCTTGATGCACCAATTATGTCTGCATCTGGTGGTCTCACTATATATATATATTTTTTTTTTAAATCTGGGTCAAGAATGACCAACCTGTAGCATTCTTTAGCTGGATAATGCATGAATCGCTTTGCTCTGCGACTGATGATAAATCTGGGATCAATCCTGGCTTGTATCATGAGAGGAGGACATGCAGTTGAAGGGTTTGGTTGAATGGTTTGCCCGCGAAGCCAATTTTGACAAAAGTCATATCCACCACCCCAAAACCTTTGTGCAAACTCTTCTATGTCTGCAAATATCCCTCGACCTCCTGACGTAACCGTAGGCTCCACCAAAATAGTTCTAGTGGTAGGCTGTGACCAGTTGAAATATATCGGGGAAATGGTCACATTTTCTTTGCCAGTATTCGCCACTGTTTTAAGAGTGACAGAAGAGCCATTTTGGAAGGTGTAAAGCTTGATATCGACACTCGTCAAAGAATCAAACCAGGACCTGTCCCAGGTGATGGTCGCACTGCCCGGTGAAGTGAGATTGATCCCGAGAACCCTTCTGGGCCTCCCCACAACCACGTCTCTTTCAGTCGTGAATGTATCATTGAATAAACTGATGGTGAATTGAATTTTTGCCAGGCCTGCAGCTGCGAAAGTCGGTGTGACGCAGCCAGCAGTGCGAAAATCCAACACCAGGGCCTTTCCAGGGACCAAACCCAAAGTTCTGTCCTTCACTGCGCAGGACACGTTGGACACCTTGCCCAGGCAAAGACCCGACAGAGTGACGAGCTCGTTTCCATAGAGCCCCAGCTCACGAGGTGTGATGGTTACCAGCGACATCTGTTCTTCCGTGGGGAAAGTGCATGTCTTGGGATCTCCGATCAAGTCGCCGTCTATTTGATAGACGAACTTCCCGGGGGTCCCGGTGTTGGACAGATTTTGTAATTGCAACACGTCCTGGGAACAACTGTGGGGCAGACTGTGAATGGGGATCGATGTTGGGCGACGACCCGAGTTGAACCCGGCAAATGCGTCGAGGTTCGACTCTGCGCCACGGCTCCAGGTCAGGTTGCCGTAGCGGAAAATGGCGAATGTGCTGTAGCCATCAGAGGTAATTATAGCCTGCGAATTTCATGTACAGAACAGTAATTTTGAAGTAGTTTTTCTAGAGAATGTTTCTGTCAAAAAAAATAAGACAGGAAAATGTCTTTAGGAAATACAAAAGTGAGAACCTGACATGTATGCAGATGCCCCGAAGGCCAAATACAGATAATTTGACTTGTGAAAACTTAAGCCTTGGGTGGCAGAGGGTCCTTTTCCATTCAGAATTTTTTCATTGGGGGAGGCACATTTCAGTTTGAGCAAAAGGTCACCAAAATCCCCTTGGGTTATTGGGAAGGCCTAAGTTTGAACAAATGTGGGTGGAGAATATCCTTTTATTTGGAGAAATCTTCAATATGAATCATTAGATGCAAAAAAGGAAACCCAGGGAGGAATTTATTTTACAGGCATTATTGACTGCAGGATTGGAAAATATATTGGAATTGTTCCCAACTTGGGCCCTGGTAAAAAAACATGATTCTTTTCAGTGCCCATGGGCACAAATTTTGCAAGATAATATCCCAACATTGCCACATGAGAGTCAAAACTTTAAAAAAAACTGCCCCAACACTTGAACAACTTCCATCATGTCCAGAAAAATTAAAAATTAATATTTTTTAAATTCTGACATACCTTGAACAAATTGAGCTAAATTATTTTTATTTAAAAATTCATCCTGAAATTAATCTTTGACATAAACATGAACAGGCTAAATTTGTAATTTTTGCAGTTATTTCCAGCACACGTGCGTGCAGTATGGCCATACTTATTCTTTTTCTTTGCTTCTTGAGCTCCTGATTCCAAAAGATCAGATTCTGCAAGGTTTTCCTTTGCACAGTTATCTTCTGCATCTTGAAATTTATAAAATTTACAAATTTAACTTTTGGGGACTTCATCCCTAATTTTTGATAAACAGGAAAACCACAATAATATATTTCCTGGTGAAGTCTATAGGAAAACATGATCCAAAATACAGATACTCCAAAATAGCAGGGAAAAGGCCCAAGCAGACAATTTTGTCTGCATCTTGGGGCTCAAGTGTAATGGACACTTTGGAGCTGTGCTTCAACAAAAACTGGGGCATAGTTCTGATGCAGGAATATGTTTTTGGAAAAGTGTCTCACACATGATATACAAGGTGCACGTGTCTTACTTGAGGGCACATGGTATCCAAGAATGAATACAATCTCTTGAAAAATTGAGCTACTGTCGTGGACAGCATGAATTATCACTGAATCATACTATGGATGTAATGTACTTAATATATGCTTTCCATAACAGGTTGTGAGCTTCTCAGTAGCATTAACCAATCAGACAAACCTGGAATGTATTGTTGGTTGAAAATTCTGCAAAGCCAAAGGTGCCAACTTGGTACCAAGTGGCAACAAGTGCCCATATAAGATTTGGAGGGGACATCTGTGGAAAAACAGCGGAGATATCATTTCTTGCATTTGCCAAAACAGCAGCATTGTTGGTCTGTCTGTACAGCACTAAGCCCAAGTGCCTTGTGTCAACATCAGCCCAGTATGGGGCTAACACTTCATACTGTTGTTGACTGGGCAGACAAGATGGCGTGTACTGCGGAAGTGGGGATTTGAGTGATATAGCACCATTGTTGTTCACCCAACAAGAGGTTCTGATGCCATTGAAAATTTTCATTGGGAAAGACAGCTTGATTTCATCTGAACTGCAGTCATCACATGGATTCAGTACCTGTGTTTATAGAACCAGAAGACCAAGATTATTCAGCTTCTTACTTTTTTGAATTAATATTTTTTTAATAGTGTGTTGCTCTTCAATATCTCAGCAGCAAATGTTGAGTTCATTTCAAAGTAGTTTTAGGTTTTCCCCCCTGCCATTCACATGCGCATGAGTTTTCAACATATTGATATTTTTATTTAAATTTTTGAATAATATAGGAAGTTTCATTATAAAAATGCTTTAAAAGCATTTTTCATTTCCTTTCAAAATGCATCAATTTACAGTACATTTTGATTGATTTTCTCTTTCCTTGGTCATCATTTATTTTTGATTTTCTGAAAGTCTTTTACACTTAGTATCGTGAAACTCCTCTTTTCGGAAAATGAACCCCTCCAATAATCACGTAAGAAAGATACACTTAAGTCTGTAAGCGTATCCCATCATAAATACTAAAGAAGGTTGATATGTATTTTCAATGTATTTCAGTTTTCATTTTATTTTCATGTTTAATATAAAGTACATTAAACCATGTATAAAGTATATTAAAACATATATAAAGTAAATTAAAACATATGTAAAGTACATTAAAACATGTATAAAGTACATTAAAACATATATAAAGTACATTAAAACATATATAAAATACATTAAAACATATGTAAAGTACATTAAAACATGTATAAAGTACATTAAAACATATATAAAGTACATTAAAATATATATAAAGTACATTAAAACATATATAAAGTACATTAAAATATTTCAACAGCATATTTCCACTAACCATATCTAGTTCCTTATAACCAAACTTGTCAAATCCTTCTGGGCTTGGGGGTGAGAAGTAAGGTGATGCAGGGATTATTGCAGGCTTTGTTCTTGTTGAGGTTGTAGGTGCTTCTGTTGTTGTGGTTGTAGATGTTTCTGTTGTAGGTGTCTCTGTTGTTGTGGTGGGAACAGCAGTAGTTGTTCAACACTAAAGTAACGTACAACAACCAAGTGGTTCGGTCCTAGGTAAACGACTTGTGAGATCACAAGGTCAACAACAGAGGAGTATAGGTCCAAACGTGGATTTACATTGGAAATCTTACTTCCTTATATATTAGATTGGACCCTCAAGTAACAAACTGCTCAGTTAAAAAAATTCTGGTTAACAAGCTTTTGGTTTCCAGGAAAAATCCCTGTCAACAAATCAAAATTTGGTTACCAAACTTTTTTCTGAGATAAAATCCCAAATTTAAGAATTCAAAAATTTGATTTTGAGGCTGAAATTTAAAGTACAGTGCAATCTAAGTGCAAAAACTTCATTTTCACCTGACACGTTTCCTTCAGGGTGTGTTACTCTAGGTGTGGAGCTTTTTATCTTTGTTTTCATCAGTGCCACTTCTATATACTGTATAACACTGGGAAAATTTCTGGGCACATACTGTATAGAAGATGCAACAACTTATTCTGATTACAGTTGATGGTCTTGAATTTTTTTTTCTCAGTGTTCAATTGTCTTTTGGATTCATGGAATTGATTAAATTCTTCCCCATTGAAGTCTATGGAAAAATTAAATTCAGTCAACAAACTTTTTTGGATAACACATTTTTGTCTGAAACCAATCAATTTTGTTAAACAAGATTCCACTGCATTCCAAGCAAATCAGTTTTGTTTAAAATTTGAAACAATTGCAAGTACAGTACTGTACCTTTGATCCTGAGATGAGGGTTGAGTAGTCTGCAACCCCATTGGCAGGGTTACTCGGAGTGGGACACACTTTAATAGTTCTTGCTGTTTCCATAGCTGATCTTTTGTTCAATAAACTGATAATCAGTTGGAGGGTATTCATGGCAATTTGAATGCTGTGTGATGCCTGGTAATCCATGTAACATGCTTGCACATTTTGGCACACATCCCGCACTGATTCTGGGAATGATTCCTTAGGTTCAAGGAGAAAAACTGGTACAAAATCAGGTTTGTTGAAGGTATCATACGATGTCCCTGCCGGATAAAAGAATATCGACTCATTTCTTGACACTCTCCATGTTTCCCCAAACTGATAGAAGACAGCACGTGCATAATCTGGCGATATTGATGAAATTGGCGATTCAGTGATATACGGTGATTCGATGATGACTTCTGGCAAAATTGGTATTTCTGGGATATTCAACAAATGTGGCAATTCGGTGCTGTTTGACGAATTTGATGATTCGGTGATATCTAGTGATCTTAGTGAAACATTGCCTCGGGGCATCAGATCATTGCGTCGGTCCCCATCAAACTTCCCTGCCAATCCAACAGCAATCGCATTTCCTGCTTCCGAAGGAGCAACAAACAAAGTGTTTTCGAGGATCCCAAATTTTATAGTGAGCAAAACGGAAAGTCGAGGCGAAAATAGCATCAATGCGGGGCCGACTTTCCTGACTTGTATGTGGTCTGAAATTTTGATCATTTGTTGATTGGGAGAAAAGAACAGGCGTTTTCCGAGTCCTGAGTAAATTTGCATGGACCCCGATTCGTCTGCTTCAACTTGTACTGACGGCTGAGTGCCGCAACTCATGGCAACTGCCTTCACTGCAGTTGCTGTTGAAATCATTGGAGTTGTGCCCAGTCGGACCTGCAAAATCATTAATAATGGTATACCTTTTAACGTACCTCGAGAATTTTTACAATAAATGCCTCATCAGTGAGTAAATTCTGAAGAAAACCCATCCTTCGCAGTTCTTTTGAAAGAGGATAGACTCTCAGCTAATCTGAGTTTAAATTTATAACTCTGCTTAATTAAGTAAGCTTGAGCAGCACAAATTCAATACATGTACAAAAATATTTTAAATGCGTGCTTTGCAATCCTAAATCCTGCTTAAAATTGAATATTTGATCATTATGTGAGATTTTTAATTGCATTACGGTGGACACTTGGAAGACTACTTTGATACTCCTTTTTTAAAGAAATTTCAAAAATTAGAATTTTGGATATATTTCACTGATATGTGCCAGAAGTGGAAATGGTTGTTGAACGGAATTTAAAATCACGTACCTGAACCACGCAATCAGACGTTCTAATAAGCTGATATTCCCCGAATCCATTGAAGGTGTAGGAGACGCCATCTAGCGTCATGAAGTGTGGGTCACCAAGACCTCCACCACCAACAACTGGGGGTTCGTACCCTTGTCCACAATTTGCTGGTCTTTTCTCATAAAACATGGCGCATGTTGATGAATTAATTGACCCAGATTCATCAGTCTTACAGCAATCATAAAATGGCACAACATCATTGGATAAGTACTCCAAGTAGGCTGTGCTTGGGTCATTAAGAATTACATTCCCACCAGTTCTGAGACCACATTCAGCAATTCCATTCTTGTAGCAGCAGTCCTGCAATGGCTGGCCCATAATTGATCTGCATACAGAACCAACCAAGAAATCAAAACAAACTCATCCATTGACTCATTTCTTGAAAGAAAAACTTTTTTATTTTCATAGCACAATAGGAAAAACCTTAACCTTAAAAAAGTAGAATTGTCCTGAACCGAAAGCAATTAATTACAGTGCACTAGTTTCAAATGAGCATCTAATTTTTAATGAAGCATGACTTATTTTGAAACACTGCAATTGAATAACACAATAAGGTCTCTTGAAAGTTTTATACAGTATTTATCAAATTATTTTTACAGGCAAACTCAGGACTTCGAATTAAACCTGTTTATTTTAGAGGGCCTCTGTAAAATTTACATCTGGTGGAACAAGTTAAATGTTATAAACACTAAGATAGTAAAGAGTTTATTCACTTGACCGGAAATTAATAAAAAAAAATTTAAAGGCGTTGAAATTATTACAACTTCTGTAATTTTCTTTGATTAGACAAATGGGACATGTTGACAAATAGATTTTTTTTAATGTATGCAAGTTTGGAGCAACATGACAATTCAATCAAAAAATTGAAATTTTATTACAAAAATTGGCGGAAATTTAATGTCATATCTGTCCTGTCTCGAAGTGACGCAGCTCCAGCATCTGGCCTCAACTGGACCCAGAAACTTTTTACATTTCTGAGGCCAGTGAGCCTCGCAAAAATCCCGTTTTTGAGAGACTCACTGAGCCTCACTCAAGGACGAGAAGTGGTTGTCACTTCTTTGATTTTGCCTAAATTGGCCAATCCTGACCCAGTCCAAGCACCTGGGTATAAAAACCCTCATTCCTCTTTGAGAGGAGAAGTCAGAACCTAGTGTTGAAGGGCCTTTTAACTTTAAATTACATTATTCAATATTCTGAGCTAACCATTGACTCTGCCATTAAAACAATTGAATTAACAGCCAATTGATGAACTGGGCAATGNAACCTAGTGGTAAAGGGCCTATCAACTTTAAATAACCTCATTTAATATTCTGAGCTAACCAACCAATTTAATAATTGACTCTGCCATTATATTGAATTAACAGCCAATTGATGAATTGGGCAATGAGAATAAACTCCTCTGAAAAGAGTTTGAGTTCTTCTTCAAAACTTGCATTCTGATGTCTGCACAATTCAATTCCTTTGTCTGGGATCCAATGGACCCATGACAATATCTGCTACAACACAATATGATTTTATAAGCTCAGTTGTATAATAATTAAGTACTGTACAGTAATGAAGAATACAAGGTACTTGCCAGTATTTGCAATGTGTGTTGTGAGAGTATAAATTTAGCCAAATTCAGCAAGAGAAGATTGCTTTAAAATTACAAACCTGTAGCAAACGTCAGCGTCCGGGTGGTAATAATTCCTCATCAATACACTTGCTTCGAATCTGGGGTCGAAATTGGCGAGTAACTCGATTGGAGGACAAATTGTTGAGGACTCCGGAACCCCAGCATTGTTGTACCATTGCTCACAACGTTCGGAATTCCTGGTCCAGAATTTGTTCATGAATTCTTCAGCATCAGCCATCAACATCGGGGAAATTCCTTCTTTTTCAGGAATAAGACCGATTGTCAGTGGCTTATTAGTTTCAAGTGCAGCTTCAGGAATCCGCACTTTGAAGTGTCCAGAATTATTCGCTGCTGTCAGAACAGTGTCGCCAATTGGGTTGAAAGAATGCAGGACGATTTGGACTGTTGTTGGGTTTTCATAGACTTTTGTAGGATCCCATATTAACATGCATAATTGAGCATCCCCGTCTTTCTCGCAAGAGAACACATGAAGATTCTGTAAAAAAAAATCCATTCGGCCTTGTCATTTGCTAATAAATATAAGAATTAAAAATACCATGAACTAGGCATTGAAATAATTCTGAATTTTGTTTTTAATAAGGTAAGTCATGATGTCTCTGATTCCCAGAACAGTTGTCGTTTTCTCATCAATTTTTGTTTGGTATTTCAACAGTAAAAATTGAGCAATTTTATGAACAGGTCATTAAACACAATCAAGGGCTATTTATTCAATGGTTCCTCTTAAAAGTTCATAACAAGTTTTGTAATGGAGGTGTGGGGCACAGAGGGCACGTCCCACAGAAAGAGTAAAATACGCGAGATTAATATAAATTAAACTGGAATGTTTGGAATGCAGTAACACATGCGGTAACGGGGAATTCCCTTGAAAGTCCCCACTACCATAAATTGCGCAATAGAAAAATCCCGTCTTTTTTGAGTAACTAATTCGAATTACTAAGTTTGCTGATCTCAAAGCATTTGGTTGTGTTGAGAAATTCGTACTTGTGCATTTTCCTGATTGTCGATTATTCCCATTCTGATTTCACTGTTTTAAATACAGTGAGACCCCCACATACGGACGCCTCAACATGGGGACAATTCGACTTGGGGACACTTATTTTTAACCAAAAAAATCATAAAAAAGACCCAACATGAGGACACTGACTCAACCTGGGGACATTGCAGGATAAAATTCCAAAATAAATTTTTAATTATACAATGTAAGTCTATGGGAAAACAAGATTTGACTTGGGGACAATCCAACATGTCCGCATCTGGGGGTCTCACTGTATTCAAAATATACATTTTTTCATCTCTTTGAAGATTCTACCAAGAATCTTCCTGCCGTGTTCCCCGGCGGATCGTGATTTTCATTTATTTATTCATTAATTAATTTGTTTGAATTCTTTGTGAGCTTGTAGCTCTACAAGAGGGACCCAATGTATTTACATTTAGTGTCATGGAATATGCATAGGCTTATAATATGTACACACTGATAATGAGGAATGGGTTTGAGGGGTTTTTTCAAGTGCCTGTCCCATGGCTGACTAATTACACAATTATACAAACCCATGCATCTGTCAATGTTCAGATCCTTACTTCAATACTTTACCTTTTCTTGTGTGTCTTCCATGACAGTCAACTCCCTTGATATGTTGTATTGTTGCCCATTGGTCATAGAGAGAATAAAATCAATCCTTCCTGTGCCAGCAGTCATTGAAGTGGTTAGTGGTGGGGTAATACAGCCTATGGTCCTTTTGTTTAGTACTGCAGCCTTGCCACTTTGCACATTGCCTCCTTCAGACTTCACAAAGCATGCTACACTATTTGTTTTGTTCGTACATGGACCTGACATAGTCACAAGTTCATAGCCACGAAGAGAAACTGTCCTTGGAGAAACTGTCGCAGTTGATGCAGGGTTTGCAGTACTACACGATCCTGGCAGCAGAACCTGTTTAAAAAAATAAAATAAAAATAAACTCACTGTCGCATAAACTGAGAAATGACAAGAACACAGTACTGCTTTTTGGGTGTTTTTCTTTTAACTACTGACGTCATTGGAAAAAATTTCATGGAAACAACTTCAACCATGAAAGTGTTCAAAGATTTGCTTGATTGACAAATACAGTACAGTATATTCATATTGAATTAAAATTGGTGTTTGTATGATGAAACTCATCTTCTATTGTGTGATTTTTATCATGAAAATTTTTTATGCAGGCAAAGCTTGAAAAAATTGATTCAATCCAAGCTTCCAACATACTTTTGAAACATTTATTTTAATACTTTGCCCTAAAATTATATGCAATAAATCAAGTTACATACAATTAGTACCTTGAAATTCACCCTTGTGCAATTTGACTGTCCCGCAATTTGATAGTAAAATTTGCAGATAGGTTGACTTGCAATGCAACCCTTCCCCCCAATTTGACCTGCTTTGTCCACTTTTTTGGCAGTTTTTAACTTATATTTTTAAATTTTGCAGAGTGTCTTGCAATTTTACTGATTCACAATTGAACCCCTAGTCTGGCAATGGATTAGGGCCAAATTTCAAGGTACCACCTGTACACTAAATAGAAGGCTTGCATTTTTCCAAGAAGCAAAAAAAAGGGGAAATATGAGAATCTTGGAATTATCCAAATGTTTCAAGATTTTTAAATGACACTTTTTTTTATTTTGGGGTCACTCTGTATCCATTCTGCACTTGAAATTATTAGCATGTTCAAATATGAGATGATGTGCTTTATAGTTTCCACCAGATAAAGCCATATTAATGGAAGCTTCCATTATCTGCTTCCAGTCTACCTCGATATATTTTTTTTTTCATCATTGGAATTTTTGGCATCCATAAGGAATTCATTGAATCGTTTTTTTTTCATACTTTATTTCAGAAAAAATTGAAGATTTATCGAGAATATACCCTGGGCGTGTTGATTTGAAGGACGAATTTCCCGGGGTGCAGGAAGTTTGACCGAGACGTCATGTTGATCATGAGATCAGAGCAGCTGGCAGCCAATGAGTATACATGTTGTGGGACGCCATCAGCTGCATGCAATCCGGCCCATGCATCCACCTCTGATTCTGTGCCACGCGTCCATTCCACGGATTCGTAATTGAAAATGGCGTACGAGGCATAACCATCAGTTGCGAGCGCCATCTGTCGAGAGAAACTTTAAAATTGAGCAATGCACGAATTCCCGTATGAATTTCGGTTTTTATTCCCGTTTGGGAAGACCGAGTCATGGAACAGTAACATTTTCATTTTTTTTTCTTTTTTTTTCAATGCTTGTGTATTCTTTTTCTCTTTTTTATTTTTAGCTTTTTCCTGAATTTAAGTTTGCTGTTCACTCGGGTAAAATGCTAAAGGCAAAATCCAGATTTGTTGTGTATAATGAACTTTTTAACTGAGGATATTTCTAGATCAAGACCCCACTGTCCACTTTTGAACCTTAGTCTGTGTACAGGTGGATTTTCTCTACAATGAAATTCAGGAAAACAGAAAAACATTTCTGTGGAGAGAATTTTGTTGCAGAGACCCATTCAAGATGAGCATACATTTAATGGGAAAAAAATAACATACAGAGAAAATTGATGCAGACAAATCCACTGAATAGAGAGTGTCAATCAGTATACAGTTAAAGTTATCAGCTTACAAACTTTTCAGCTAACTAACATTTGTTTTCAACCTCAGCTGCTCCAGCTAGCAAACCATGGCTCAGATTACAAACTTTGAGTTCTCCAAATGCTCATGGGTCCGACAGAAATTATGTAGCAAAAGCTAGGGATTCATGTTTTCACTCATTCATCTAAGAATATCTCAAAGGTTTAGGGACCAATTCTTAATCAGCAATTTCTTATTCATTCCCCTTGGGTTAAAATTCAACAGCTTTTTAGCATCAAAATTTTTCCTCCTAAGTCTTTGGTCTGTGAAAAAGTTTTTGGTGCTGTATTTAAAATGTTCAAGAAGAAAGCTCTGAAGAAACTCAATTTAAAATTTCACTTCTATGGATTGTTTTACTGCAGTGAGTTTCTTGTATATTGTCTTTGGAAGATTTAATAGATTTTAGGACTGAAAATATTTTTTAGGATGCATTCTCTTGAATTCCATGGGCATTTTCAATGTTCTGGAACCAATTAAAATTATTCCTATATTTTCTCAAGGGAAAATGTGATTTACAAATTCTCAAGGAAAAATGTGCTTACAAACTGTTTGGCTAACAAACTTTGTTCAGGAAACAATTGAGTTTGTTAGCCAGGACCCCACTGTACTGTATGTGTCAAACAAATACTTTACTATATTTAAACTGAAAATTCGCCCACTTAAATTGCTACAGGAATGGTTCTGCAGTGTACTGTACAATCAGAAGAATACTGTACCTGGAATGTGTTTGCAGGAGATGTGGTGCCCAATCCATATGCTCCAACTGAGTGCCAAGTCACCACTAAAGCAGACAAGAGTAGAGGAATATTTGAAGCCGGAAATGCTTCCTTAATATCAGCTGCAATTGCTGACAGCGCTGACGCATCATCCACGTCCCGGAATGAAACGTTTCCCATGAACCTGCGAAATACATTTTCAGATTCTGCATTCTAACACGATGAGGAACACATTCATGGCCAATTGATGGTACAGTATAGTAACAACGACTTTCAGTTTAAGATTGCAAAGGGGTTTAATATGCGATATTGCATGGTAAAAAAACGGCGCAATTGAAAATTCCACGGAGTATAATTGTGGGTTAAAAAATTAAATTGATTTTTTCCATCACTTGGTTTGTATAAGTTGCTTTATTAGGACAAAAACGCACATTTAAATGTAACTTTGTCCGCAGTTTCTTTAGTTTCAGTCATTTTTGCTCCAAAAGACTAGTGATATTGTCAATTATAAAGACCATGTTAGCTTGAGACTTGTCAGGCATGCGTTTTTTCTCAGACTTTGCTTATGTGGAGGAAAAATACATCAAAATCTGTTCACCGATTTTTTGTCTACTTCACCTTGTATCAACATCTGCCCAAAATGGAGCAATCATGTTTTCTGGTTCATCCGTAGGTGAGCAGGCAGGGCTGAACTCATGAACTGGCTTTGTGAAACTGATGCCTCCATTGGTGTTGACATAGCATACTTGGGTGGGCATCCCAAAAACCGTGATGGGATTCTTCAGTTTGACCGGCCCCCAACTGCAGTCATCACAATTGGGTAGAAACATATCCCCTGCTTCTAACCCAAAAGGGTAAAGTCCCTCAGATGCACTGAAAGCATTCCACACTGAAGAAATTGAGAAGAAAACTAGCTGGAACTTTGGAAACCTAAACGGTGTAACCATGATACTGATGAAAAATAGAGAAGCACATCAATGAAAATTAAACTTGAAGAGATTCTAACATTGGAGTAGCTGGAAATAAAAAAAAATTGGCATTTTCACGTATTTAGGATATATGCCTGAGAGTTCAACCATTGAATCTTATTGAAAAATGACAAAACCCTCCCAAAAATTGATTTTTCCATCAAAGCGTTTATTCACAATCAAAGATTATCTTCCACAAGCTCAGGGAAATTGAGTTGACTGTATAGTCTCACTAACGCGAGGCTTTCTTCAAAACTAAAACAATTGCGTTGAAATCTTTCTTCCCCGTGGCTTCTCGACAGTACTGCTGCCTTCATGAGTAACTTCACAACCTCAAAAAATATGTCTCACTGTGTTTTCGTTGTAACAAATGATCATGCTCAGAAGCGCGGGATGGCACTTTTCGATAGTTTTAAATGTAAAAAGAGCCAAGATTATCAAACAACACTTATGACTTGACTTTACCGATAACTTGGGAAGCATTATGATTCATTGTATGATTGCAACTGAATTTATAAAAGTGCGCCAATTCTGAAGCGACTCTTGAATTGTTACACGTTTCCCCCAATTGGGTACTTTCTTGCTCCTATCCCCAGCATTGTCGTCACCAGCTTTCGTTCGCGTTTGAAACTTACTGAGCTGAAGTAATTCCGAGCTTACCTTGACGCACAGGAAAGTTTCAAAAATGGTACAGCAAATAGCGAACGTTTCGCAGGCGCAGAATTCGTCCCCGTTGAAAGTAAACCAGCAAGGTATTATAAGTAATGAAAGCTTATATCTTTAATCCATCACTTTACGTTTCGGATGCCACGTTATCTCCTCTATCTTAGGGAACTATAAAACGTTCATCGCTTTCAGTACTTCATGAGTAACATTCACGGCATAGCCACACTGAATCAAGCTGAAGATTTATAGTGTACAGTACAGTAGTTCGCGCTGGCTGATGAGTACCACGTTGCCCATCCAAGCCGAGGTTCTTTTAATCGCTTGTAATACAAATTTCGATTTCGAGAAACCCTTTTTTTTAATTTAAGCCTCTTTCTCAAAAATGAAGTCTAATTCTAGCATGCTGGCTCACAACGGAACTGATTTAGGCTGTTCAATCTTTTCCTCTGATATGGTGAACCACCATCAGGAGATGGTCTGTACCATGCATGTATTAAACAGGGTATAATATGGAATGAGGCGTAATTGTAATGGACATTTTCTTGACTCGAATTCAACTTGAAAGTTTGCAATTTTTGACCAGGTATATATGCACACTTTGTTTGCTTTGACACATAAAAAACTATCCCTGTCTTCTTCAGCCATCCATATCTTCTTCAACCATCAGAAATTTGGGTGAACCTGTGATGGAACGGCCGCAAAGTTCGTGGTACAGTATGTTGTTAGGCAAGAATATGGGAAAGGAGTGCGTGAGATGAAGTGAAGAATTAACGAATAAGTCTAGCATCAAGTGCGATCAGTTGGAATACATGATAGGTGTGAAAGTCGCGATAGCTAGAGAATCCTGGGTGCACATAATCAGTGTTGAAAACGTGGCATTCGATTTTCGTGAACGTCTATGACGTCATTGCGAGGTGGAAAGTGAGTCAACTGCAATGATCCTACCCGTGTGAAGCACGAAAGACTTCGTTAGAAGAACGGTAATGTTCCTCTGAAAAAATTTGTGGAAGTCATGAAGGCACTTGTCCTTTCGAGTTCGAGAGAATTGATCCTCGCGAAAATCATATTTTCGTTTAACGGTATTTTCACATGCATATGAACCTTCGCTGTAGCCCTACTGTTTGAATTGAGAAGAGTGCTGTTGAAGTTCCGCAAATATTCTGGCCCTGTGTAAGGTGGTGTAGTTCGTCGGTGTGACAGGCGTATTACAGAAGCTATTTTCTTTGTAGATATATTTCAACTCTGTAATAAAATACTCCTTACTCAAAGAAAATACGAAGTGTTGTTGATCACTGAGGCAACAGAAGTTTTCACTGTTCACAAATAATCTCCGATCATGGAATTACGTGGTGATGCAAGTTCCGGACGCGGCCAGTATCAGGCAATGCATTGGCGTCGGCCAGCAGGCGGAAATGAAAATAGAGGAAATTCGTCTGCAATTGTAGCGTCCATCTCATCTCCTCCCACACGGAGCAGGGTTTATAGTAAAAACGTCCCAGGAAGGAAAACACCCTCATTGGACTGGAGAAGAAAGGCTGAGCCGTCCAGAGGAGCAACGAGAGGGAGCCCGTGCGCGAGCGTTGCGTCCGTTTCATCGCAGCCGATGACGAAGACCAACGTTTCTAATCCTAGAGCTCCGTTCGACTCGGGACGAGGTACGATATTATGACTCAAATTTCCTACTGACGAAATCCCATTTTCATCGTGGCTTTCATTTTTCTCATGTTATAGAAACGTTGGGCAAGTCTTTTACGTGCCATAATGCCTAAATGAATATAAACATGTGAAAGTCATATCACGTACAGTATTGTGTGTGCAGTAGTGAAACAATATTCTCTGTATAGAACAGGTCTTTTCAATTGGTGGTGCCCGTCCTATATTGGTAGTATGAAGAGTTGGCCATGACGAAAACTGTTCGAATATCATAAATTTTGACTTTTATCTTCATGGCAATAATTTAAACCGAATTTAATGAGACTGCTAGTAGAGTATGGTCTATACAAAAATAATAATTACGTGGTTGAAACAATTGTTTTACAATCCTGTGCCATTTACTCGAAAAATGACACATTTTTGAAGTCATTGCAGCCAGAGTACTGCACAGGCGCTGATAGAGCCAAAAGTGCTACATTTCCCTGCTCAAGAAATGGTAGATGAACACTAGCCTGCCCTCAAAATACTGTGATGCAATTTCTAAAAAGAGGGTGATAAACTTTGCTTCAGAATAGCGGAGGAGCGAGTATGTCAACGATTTGAAGTACGATAACTTGCCTGCTGTTGTGAGTCTGTTAACTGTGGGTGATCGCCATATTGAGCAGCAATTTGTGATGAAGCGTTCACCTGTTCTGTGAAGTGTGATGTTCCGCAATAATGTTTTTCGTCTAGAGCAACATCGATCCAGTACAATGATGAATCAAGGTGATAGATCTAATGCGAACAACGTTTCGTCGGAAGTACGATCCCTGATGACCGAAACTCCTGCCTGTCCTTGGATACCACCGATGAAGCAACCGGAGATCGAGTACGATCGCTCTAAGCTCCGCTATGTTGCGGTGAGTGCTTTGGAATGCAACATTTTCTGAGATTTTTGAAACTTTTCTAGGATGCATTCGCGGCTACTTTGAGTCTCATGCTGCGAAACTCGAGAGTGTTATTGAAATGGCGGAAGTTACTTAGAATAAGCTGAATGTCTTCGTCAGCTCTTTTCGTGCATTGTGTTGTAGCTGTTATCCTCGCCGAGAGGTGGATTATATTTTCTCGACCTGCTGGAGTGCTGGTTGATTTATTTTCGTGAAATTTATTTATTATTTCATTAATTTTCGTCATATCTGTAATCCATTCCTTTGTTTTTCCCACAAAAAAAAAAAAAAAACAGAGTGAGAAACTTACGTCACCATGGGACACGAAAGGACGCCCTAGGTTTGTTAACGACGTTGGTTGGGGTGCAACTTGCGAGCACCAAGTTTGTATAAAATGCAGCACTCAATTTTCCTTCTTGATGACCGATCGTGGAATCTCGAATGTCTCCGAAAATGAAGCCCCACTAATCATCGTTTCTGATGTATTAGAGATGGACCGCGTGAAAGAAGAGTCCGTTGAAAAAAGTTTGGTGAGACTCCATTTTGTTATCAAGTCGTTAATCGTCGGATAAGTTTTAATGATACTTCATTACGAGCTATGAACTCCTGTTGATGAATGTTGTTGTTCCCCAACAATAAATGTTGATCTGGATTGAAGTCCCATGTGAATGCATCAATAGAATGAAAATTCGAGATTCAGCACTCTAAGGGGCTTTTGTCACACTTTTTTAAGAAAACCTTTTTCTAGCCCAGGGCGCTTAAATTTTGTATTCGCTCTTCGACTGGTTTCAAGAAAATAGGTTGCTTCTCGTCCCCTACTTGATGAAATAATTTTTTTATTAATTTCTACAGAGTCAATCTGCTGGCGAAAAACTTGTCGGGAGAAAGGAAAAATCTGTCTCTCATGGCCATTCTGACGACCCACTTCTTGTCATGTTGTGGGCGCTTATGACCAACACACGCGGGGCGAAACCGGTTGATCATTTGTTACGCGGGGATGTTTGGCATCGCAAGTTATCTGTTGCGGAAATCGAAGAAATTCTTGAAGATTATCCTGGTCTGTTTGCGAAAGAAGTTGGAGAATTTACCTCGTGCGAGAAAGATGCCTATTCTGCTGAGCTCCCAGATACCAACACCTCCTGTGGAGAGGATAAGGAGAAGTTTCCGATTGTCAAGCTGTTACCGGATTTCCAATTATGCAAAGATTACTTTTCGGAATCAGGTAAAATGTGTTTTCACGTAGGTTCTTCCTTTGTGGAAGCTGCCCTCGCAGTGCTTTTGCAATAAAATGTAGCAACCGACAATTATACAAGGTGCAAATTCAAAAGTTTGTCTCGAGTGGGATACACCCAGTGGAATCTCTCCACAGCGATGAAACGTTTGGGACTGTGAAAAAACTGGCTTCGTTGTTGAAAAAATAATTCGTTTATGCGAAATTTAGATCCTGGTCTGTTAGATAATATTTAGATAATATTGTGGCCATGGAGAGGTACAGAAAAATTAATTCGTTGTAAGCAATAATTTGTTCGAATAAGATTCGTTGTAACGAGATATTCTACTGCATTCGTAGAATGAAAAGCTTTGTTTGGTGAGCCATGATGACAGGTACTTTATTCGATTTGCTTGGCAATACTGTCATTGGTTTTAAAAATAACATTATGGCGTTGGCGTTTGTTTAGTACGGTACTGTATATGGAATTGGGTTCGTTTAAATAGCTGTTTGCCTTCATATTGCGCATCAAGTTATTAACACAGCACGATGCGGTGTTTATAAGGAAGTACAAACTGCTACTGATTTATCACGTTGTGTAGTCTCGAGTACGCTGTATTCTAATGACCTTTTTTTTTAAGGCTGTGTGAGCAAGCAGTGTAGGGAGTTGCACATGTGCCGAAACTACGCGATTGGCTTCAGGCCGTGTAAAGATTCTGGATGCAGATTGGAACACAGCGCGGATTCGAAGCATAATTCCCGTATTTTGCGCAAGGTTTTAGAGTTAGAAGATCTGTCTGTCCTTCCCGAAGATTTGGTCTTGGATTTGATTTGTTTTTGCGTGGAAAAATGGGAAGAGGTGAGTGCATGGAAATCGAATGAATGTAGTTTATTTTTCAAGCTTCCTGAACTTTTTTTCATATTTCTGATGTGCGGCAGGAAGGCGTGCTGGTGTCATTTTAACTTCCGGTCTTCGAGAGACGAGCTGCTGAGTCAGGATTGATGCTTGAAGAACGTTTCATTTGAGTGGCACGCGTCTGTATACTGATGGATGCAAATCGGAAGTGAATGAGGCATTTCGTGGCCGAGAAGATTAGGCTTGAAATTATCTACACGAAAGTTTCGGAAATTGAGGAATTTTGAAACTTCTCCCATCTGTGACGGATTTCTCTATACGTCTTCGACTCTACTGTGAATTCATGATCTCTTAGGGGTGTTCCAAAATTTCGAATTGAAGTTCCTCCAAGTGGGACGAGGTGTTCCTTACCTACGGTGCTGAGAAATTTTGACGGATTTCTCTATACGTCTTCGACTCTACTGTGAATTCATGATCTCTTAGGGGTGTTCCAAAATTTCGAATTGAAGTTCCTCCAAGTGGGACGAGGTGTTCCTTACCTACGGTGCTGAGAAATTTCTAGGAGAGGAAAGGTTGTGGGTGAAAATGACGTGGGATTGGTAAAGAGCGCAGAACTAAAATGGCTTCATATCTTTTAGCTCCAACTAGCATTTCAATCTCTTCCTGAATGATGTGTTGTCTCCTCTTCTCATCTGCCTCAGAACACTAATATAGATAACCACACTTAGCTCAGTTCCACCGAATATACTGTGAATTCAGAACACAGATTTTGCATTTTGATGCATTCATCTGGAAGTTTTACTTCATCAAATTCGAGAAATTTTCCTTGCTGTGCTCTTTTCACTGCGTCATATTGTCCTGATCATTTTTCCCGGCGAAATGTTCCCGCGATAACCGTCTGCAGCAGATGGTGAAGGAGAGAGAAAATTTTATGTAATACAGTACACCGCCCACTGACAGAATTATACAGTACAGTACTTCAGACGAAAATGTATGAAGAATCTGGGCCTATGCTGATGTTTTTCTGATTTATTTCTTCGCGCATTACGGAGGTAAGTTGTGTACTGCGAGTGTAAATGCCCTGCGGACTTGTTTCAGGGCGGATTACGGAACATTTGATTCCTGACTTGTAAATTTATCCAACGACGGATACGCTGTAATTCAGAGAAGTGCAGCATCGTTAACAAACCGAATGAGCGCGAGGTTGAAACTCCGTGGCAAACGGCCATTTTTTGCGAGATAACACCATGTCCGGCCATCTTTTGAAGGATGAAAGATAATGAACTGATGCTGTTCATTCAATTCGAAAGGATGAATCAACATCGTATTTCTTAAGAGGCGCTTTCTGTTTTGTGCATTAGTACTGCTGTACTTCCCAAGCAGGGGTTCCAATGTGGTACATCGTCGGACAGGGTTGGCTTTTATAATGACAGTATTTTTAACTTCAGCCATCTATGATTCCATGTTCAGTTGCGCTTCATGCAGAAATTACTCATACGATGATGAATGCGTGGCCATTTTTAAATGTGAATCGCTGGTGTAGTGATACTGCTGTACTTGCATCGAGAACTTCTTCAGCCCCAGAATATGCCATGCATTTCAAGGGTTTTCTTTTCCATGATAATTTGGAATGGAATACGAATAAGAACGACCGTACACACGTTATAAACATCAGTGTGAATAAGTTCACTCCGTGAGTCGTTCATGTCCTGAGCCCCGAAGTAAGTTTTATTGCCGTATAGACGTACAAGCGGGGGAACTATGAACTCAACGGTAACGACTTCCCTGAAGAAAATAAACAAATTACACCGACAACGTTCGCTGTATACGAGCTTGTCGAAATTACGCAGTTAGCTCCTGTTGAGTATAGTCTACATTTGTATGTGGGTGAAGATTCAGAGGTTTTACTGTTTATTTAAGACAAATGCCATTTTCACGCGTCTATACTGGTATGAGGATATGTTGAACCTGGTAGAATTTAATTTCAAAGGAAGTGAAAAAAATCCACCTTATTTCAATGCGTTGAAAACTTGCGTCGGAGAAGTGACGTTCCAGCAATGTGTGTTTGCTGTGGATAATCGCGAGGGTTGGTTCGCTGTCGCATTTCCTGACATGCTGGTACTCAAAAGATGAGTTGCATGTATGTTATTGTCACATTGTAGAAGTACTCATGATTTTGCCAGGGGACAATCAGAGTTGAAATTAAGATCTCTTGATTGGTTTCCAAACACAAAGATTCGAACGCGTTGCACTGAAATGATTTCCTTTGACGCCATCATTGAGTTCTTATACATCCGACTACAGTACTGTACGTCAACCGCATGTTTTTTTTCTCTCATTCGGATACCTGAATTTTTTTTATATGTTTTCATGATTTGTTTTGCGACTTTCGATCGCCAAAGAAAGCGTGCGGTCTTCCGATTGAAGCATGAATTTGACCGAGTCCTCGAGGTATCGAGAATACTTATTGGCTTTCGGTGTTGGCAACCCTGCTCACCGATTGGCAGGGGGGAAATGGCTTCTCCGATGTTTTCCGCACAGGCGCTGAATCAGACTGTCGCTGCTTCGGTTTTCTTGGTTGTCGTGGATTTGCGGAAGGTTCGCTGCGAGGCACATAGGGCGTCACGGTTTCCCCGAAGTTGAGATTGATCACATGATGCAAGCTGTGAATCTGTGTTGCTTTTATGCAATTTTTTTTTTTCGAGAAGCTTGGCGATTCTAAATGTGTGAATTCTCCCAGTAACGTTCAAATTCCTCACGTTTTCATTGGATGGACTCGTGTTTCTACCGTATTTGTTCTCGGAACTGCGCCAAAGTTGACGTATCGACCCTGTTTCGAGAGTTTATCGTGTCGTTGATCCTTCCGCGGTTGATGTAAATGTTTTTTTTAGGAAACCAGGAAGATTGCCATTCTCTATCGTTGAACCTGACGGGTGTTGTCTCTTCCTGAACCTGGCGAATTTTCTACCGAGGAAGTCGAAGCGAAAACAGTTCCTGAACGGAAAGCTAGTCTCGGTTCTCGTGAATATTTGCGGAGTTTCACGTTCTTCTCGTGAATCCATTACTTCTGTCGGGATACCGTGTGGATCTACGGATCACGAATTGAACTTCCCATTGCCACCTCTGTGTTTGGCGTGCGGTGCTTTTTTGGACATCAAGTCCAAGTACAGTAGTGGTTGAACGAATTGAAAGGTGCGCCGCGCATCAACCTCGTTTTTTAAGAATGAGTCTTTCGACCAAAGAGGATGCTCAGCAAGGTTGGTAGTCATGAAAACAGCATTCTTTCATGATTATTTTGCTGCAAGATACTATTTATTTAACCCCAGGCGTGAAACCAAACGAGGGAAAAGTCAAAAGCGGGCGTAAATTTACGGACTCCAGATCGTATCCGAAGAACTTCCCGCCTTGGCACGACGGATTCATCAACGGCCCCAGCAACGTGCCATACTGGAACAACTTTCAAAGTGGGTAACGGCGCTGAATTTTTGTGGAAGACGCGCTCCGTAATTTCTGCGGAGAAAATACCTGGTGCTTCTCGAAATTACAGGTACTCCGCGAAGCTCTGAATGGTTGGATGACTACAACACAAACAATGCCTACCCCTACAACCACAGGCCCCACATGTACCGAGGTAACGTTTTCCTGGTCGTTTTATTTCCAAGAGTGAAATTAAGTCTGATTTCGGGTGAATTTAAAAAATATCTATATAATTCTTGCTTTTTAGCTTTTACTAACTGGTACCCGA